TTATTGTGTTTCTTGTTCAAGCATTTGGCTTTTTCATGTACAGCACTTGGGTTAGCTGCCATGCTATTTTGAAATGGTGCTTTAAAAAAATAAATATGGTATGGGATGGAATTATTGGTAATTTACCGGTCGTCCTGCATGGTTACTCCTGTTTAAATTCACTTTTAATTGTTGTAATTTTAATTTTTTTGCAGAAATCTATTTAAAACCAGTAAATTCAACAACGTTTTGATAAAGTAGCATGCTGCTGGTTGGAATTCTCCAAGTTTAAACGGTTTAAAATGCGATAAACATGATGCAAGTAAGTGACTACATACTTTGCTGCTTTTTACTTTCTCCTAAATACAAAGAGGAACATGGTCAGATCCCAGTATGACCAGTTCAGGAAATAATGGAAGTATACTTTTATGACTTTGGCTTTTCGTAACCCGTCATAAACGACCGACGCAGATCTAAGCGGTGAACGGCCCAGCATGAAGACTTTAATGTTTCACACAGACGCTTCGGGGAAACCTCATAATCTAGCTGTCATTCCTCCAGCCCTTGGTCTTTAATAACTGGGCTCTATAGAGACCTTTCTGTGTCTGTCGGGACATGGTGATGATGATGATGATGATGATGGATCCCATCAGCCAATCACAGCTCAGAACAGGAGCGTCTTTGTGGAGGAGCCGGCTCCATACCGGATTACAGCGCCTCTCTTTCATCTGACAGCCACATAATCTATCCCAGCTGAAACGGAGACTCGTGCTTATGAACTAAACTTCAGTGGCAGCAGAGATTAGCTGCTTGTTCACATAATCTGAGATAATCTCATTAGCGCCATCAACTCTAATCAGTGTTTATGTTGATATGAGAAGAAAACAAGTTTGTCAGATTATTTTATTATTATTGTTTTTTTCAAGTGTGTGTGTGTGTGTGTGTGTGTGTGTGGTTCCTAGAGATGGGGTCGCGACCCCCCTTTGGCTCTGAGTGGGGTCCTGATATCCAGAGAATGTTACTAATAGCGAATTTTTACCATAGTAATGAAATTCTGAATAATAGTTTAAGTATTTAAATGTGGTATTTTGGATTTGAGGCTCTTGTTTGTTACGATTTTTGTGAACGTCAGATTATTGGTCAGATTAACGGGTCTGGAGGTCCTTTCTGTCTGAGAGGATGAAAGATGTGGCTGTCAGAGTTAATCCTGACTATCGTTATTATCGTTATCGGTTTTATTATTATGGGCTGTAAATGATGCTGCTCATCTCTACCTGAGGGACGTGTAAACACCTTGATCTCTCCCTCCTCGTGTGTCGGCGTCGTACT